TTTTGACAAAAGTCGACGAAGAAGATCTAGTTAGTGGACTTATAGCAGAAAGTAAGTGGGACTTTCCTTTGACTGCAATGGACATACGACTGATAGTTAAATCTTTTTTGGACTCTAATGATTTAAGGGTAGAGATTTTTAAAAACAATTTGCCAGGTGTTGTGTGGGCTTTTCTAAAGAGACATAAAGATACCCTCACAGTAAGATTAAGTGAAAATATAAAGCGATGTCGTTTTGGTGTTGATAGTAATATAATTAGTAATTATTTTGATGAAGTGAAGGTCACTGAAAGATGTCAAACTGAAGGCAATATTGAATTATGATGAGACAAATTTTACCGACGATCCAGGAAAAGTCAAAGTCATTGTCCGCCGTGGAGCCAAACATGTTGAAAAAATAATCAATGCGTCCAAAAGCAGTACATCTGTAATGTTCTCAGGAACAGCTTCAGGCATCTTGTTACCAATTTATATAGTATATAAAGCCGACCACTTATATGATGCTTAGACTACTAATGCGCCCAAAGGAACTAGGTTTAGGTACTGTATTTTATATCAAGCCTCAAAGATATTAATTTTTGCTCAGTATTTTTACATAGTTCAATAAAAGTTATTTTTGTTTTTATTTAAATTTGTACTTACATTATTTTGACGATCAAATGCATTATATGTGTATTTATTTTTATGCGAAACAAGAAATTAAATATTGATTTAGGTAGTAAACCATTTAATAATTCTTAAAATTTTAAATCTAGCTTAATATGTTCTCATGACTGTAATGAATAAACTTAATTATTAAAATGTGATAAAGATGTACAAAAATTGAATTTTCTATTTTACAACATATATTATGTTTATAAATTTATAATAAAAAATATTTTTTGTACAAATATAACTTGGTAAAGCTACATATTTCAAGAACAGAATAATATTCTGGTTTTATGTTTTGAATTAATTCTTTACAATTTAAAATTGTGGTCTTTTTTTTATTTTTGGAAATGTACATTTTTCTTAAAATCGGTAAACGATGAAACCGTACTCGATTATTTGGAAAACTGATATCTATAATATATAAACTTACCTAGTGTTTTTTTTTTTATATACGTATTATTAGTTGAAACATTATTTATTTTCAATATAAATAAATATGCGACAAATTACTAAATTCAACAGTCCTATTTTATTATATTTATACACAACACAATTTGTTCATAATTAGGGCTGTGAATTTAATGCACTAAAAATGCCAAAAAAATGCAATAAAATATGCACTTAAAATTCAAAATATGCGCTTAAAATGCAAAAAAAGAAATATAAAATGCTAAAAATGATAGTATAAAATTCATTTAAAATGATTTTTAATTTAATTTTTATATTTATATTATTATTAAGTACAGGATATTAAATATTAGTACAAAAAAGTGTTTATTTAATAAAAAAGTTAAAAAATTTGACATAATATATATTATATACAGCCTGTGTAAAATAAAAAAAGTTTTCAAACAAGATAATTAATAGAATTTGGTTAAAAATACCAGAAAATGAACTTAAAAAAAGCAAAATATGACCTAAAACTGCGAAAAAATGACCTAAAAAATTAAACACGTCAAAAAATGCAAAATAAAAGTTTCATAGATGGATTCGTAATTACATAATTCAAATTATGTACTTACAAAGCTATGTTTTACAATCACCAAAAAAAAATGCACTTTCCTATAAATTCACAGCCCTGTTCGTAATATAAAAGCCCTTGTCCTAATAAATACCCTGGATTCGGGCATAGTACATTTAAATATCATACTGTTAAAATATACGTGTCTATTATTGAATGAAAATTATCAATTTAAAAGGATATTCATAACAAGAATTAAAAAAGAATCAAAACTTGATCAAAGAAGAATGATTAAAAGATAAATTTATTTTTTGTTTATTTTTGAAATTATTTATGTATTATTAATTTATAATTATTTATATTATATGCATATAAATATTATTTTATAAGACATGGTAAAATGAAAAGAGTAATTATTAAGAACGATAACAAGATTATTAATAACGCAATTCGGGATTGGCTTATACAAACCAAAAAAATTCTAAGTAAAAATTATAAATATTTTAAATTAACTATGTAATAATGTAATATGAATAATACAATTTAGAATCGAATTAAATAATCCTGAATATTTTGTTTTATTCAATACAGCGAAAAACTGCTTAAAACTGAATTTATAGTTAGTCTAATAAGATTTTGCCTTGGACCGTTTCCATTGTAAAAAAACTTAAATAAAAAATATTACGCAACTATCTAATTACCTATAGAAACATTTGGTATAAACAAATAATATTATTATTTAGAAATAAATTAGTCATTATAAGTAAATATAAATAATTAAAATATATTTTATAAGGTAGAATTTAGTTTTTTATTTTTCATGATGGAAAATTCATCTACGATTTTACATGTGCCGTTCATAATGTTCGCGCAAGTTATTGGGTGCGATGAAATCAAAATAGATTTTATGACCCTAATCGCGACTCCTCTCCTTTGGAGTCGATGGCCCTTATAATATATTATTTTAAGATCGATTGCCCGATAGTAATTTTGGATTAGTAGGTCAACGGCCTTCATAATTAGGTATCTTTAGTCTTTACAGAAATATAAAAGCCGTAAAGATTACGCACAAGTTTTTCCCTACTTCACTTAATATAAGGTCAATGGTTACTACTTCGGATAACATATTTTGGTGATATCGGAGCCACCGGCATGCAGAAGACACTCCTCCGTGCGACGCTTTTGAATCAATAAGCCGTCGTCACGTTGCCGTCTCAGACTCTGTTCGTCTTTTTTCTGTCATAGTGTAAATCGTTTAAGTGTGCGATCGCGTTCAACTCGTTTTTTACCAAGTTCGAGTTCTTATGTGTTGCGATTGTATCTGTAACTTAGAACGTTTTACACCGTCTCGCGTTCAGAGTCATATACACACACACACACACACACACACACATATATATATATATATCGTATGTCGCGGTTTCCGCACTAAAAATTTAAATATGTGTATATATATATTGTGTCTAGCAGTCGTCTCTGTATTGATGCGTGGTCGTCCCGTTCATCGTTGACTTAAAAAAATTATTGTGTGTCGCGATCTCCGTTTTGTAACGATCAGTCGGTGTGTGTAAATACTAAATTGTAAGTGCCGTCGTGTACTGGAAGAAGAAACAACTGACCAGTGGTCTAATTGTCGCCGTCAATTTGTTACCTGCCATCGGCAATACCATATTGGGCATATTGGAACGGAGTCGCGTAAATATTGTTATCTCTATATATATATCACATATCCAGGGGCGAACGCAGAGGCCCCTCCCCCTCCCCGGATGTTTTCCTACGTTCGCCCCTGATCATATCATACAAATTGTACCACGATTATGTTACATCGTGTTTGTAATATTATATTTTCTTATATACGTTTAAATACGACTCAGAATTCAGATATTTACAACTTGTATGGTTACCTCTCCTTAGGCAACTCTCAACGATTATTATTATTTATTCTTTCGGTGGTGTAGTCATCGAGGCCGACCACTGAATCGTAGGAGCTTCATGGCTAAACACATAAAGTTTTGAACAGTTTTTTTTTCAATATATATCAATATTAATTTTATGATTTAACCTTTATTATCTTAATTGTTACAATTATAACTTATAATAAATCGATAAAATATTGTGGTTGTTATAATCATTTGGAAAGGTCATATAACTATGATATTAAATTTTATTTATAAATACTATATTCATGAATAAACAGAACTTAAATACTTATATGTGGAGACAGTAGGTTATTAAGAATATAACAAAAATAATAACTTGAATACTACAAAAAATAAAAATAAATTTAAATAAATACAATTATGTACAAAAAATTAAAATAATTGTTTTCATAAATTCATTTAAATTGACACCTATTTCAAATAAAACTACAAAGAAACAGAAGATATTTACAACTCAGATATTTTTAAATAAAATTAATACTGCTAGTAACTTTGTCTCAAACCAACTGCAACAACCAGTATTGATATTATTAATACTAAAAATGTTGAACCTAATATTTTTAACAGTTTAGTCTGAGAATGTTTTCTTACTGACAAAGTTAATTTTAAAGAACCACTCAATTACCAAAAAAAAATGTTTTATAATTTCTCAAGGCCCTTGTCAGTCTAAGGGTCCATTACTAACAGTGATAACTCTAGATCATTTTCAGAAAAATTTTACTATTTTACAAATTAGGTTAATATTACTTTAAAACGTACGTGCGGTTACGTTACTCATTAACTTTAAATAAAATATATTGTCATTACTGCTGGTTTTTTTCTACGCAAGATAAAATTAGTTCATCATAATTAATAATTGTATAGAAAAAAAGCACGCAAACAAAATTTCCATTGAATTATTATTATTCTAATCTCATCATAATTAATAGATAATAGATATATTATGTTATTTCATTTGTATATAATTTCATCTTATTTTTTATGTAACTAAAATTTTAAGAAATATGGAAAATACTCGTGGAGTTGCATTACATTTCATAATTTTAGAATAAAAATATGAAGGGAGGAGGGCCTTTATTAGTTTTGCAACATATGTCCATCTTTGGGATAAACTGCCACTGAATATATGTATATCACTATATAAAATGTTAAAATATTGATCTATAATGGGATCTAAGTATACAAAATATAAAGTTATTATAAGTTATAAGTATATAAAATAAACTAAATTATATAAATCTGATCTTTGAAGTATCTTCTTACTAAATATTCTTTAATTCTATTAATGTTGTGGTAATACATGGATCGATGTTTATTGATACTTTCAAATGAATATTTATTTTTTAACTATAGGAAAATGTTTTGTTTTTTAAAGTTAATAACATGTATATTGAATAACAGAATAAAGTATTTATTTTCTTAATTTATAATAATTACCAACACCTCAACTACATTTTACAAATATTAGATTAAAAAATTAAATAATGGCTTAGATTAATAGAATATTTAACTTAAATAATTTAAGAGTTCTAATGATTATGTTCGTGTCCAGGTATATGAAATGCATGCTTATGACCTTCATGCTCATGAAATTCATGATGGTGATCTGAATGTTGATGGTTGTCATCTGGCATGTGACTGTGACTGTGACTGTGGTGAGCTGAAAAATTATTTAATTATTAGTTACTATAAAATTAGGTAAAATAATTTAAAATAATGACTAATTTAAATATATACATACATATATATGTACATTTATCATTCATTTAAGGACAAAAGGTTGGTTAATTTTAAATTAAAATAAGTTTACAAATATCTTTCATACATTACTAAGTAAAAATATTCTGTAAAATAAAAAAAAAAGTAGTCAATAATAAGGTACCTATATAATTACATACAATTAGTTTGTATTAAATAATTAAAGAAGTTACGAGGTATATTTGAGTTACTATGAATATTAATATTTCATGTAAAAAGTTCAAAATTACATAATGAACTCATTAACATAAATAATGAAATAATATATAATTTTAAAAACAAATGAGTGTTTTAATTCATATAATTACGAATTTGTGATTTAAATTTTAAACCATATTACCTAATAGCTCTAATTGATTATAATTATTGACAAAAAAAAATAAATAAATTATTGAAATAGGTTATGTAAAAATGATTTGCAGCATAAATATTAGTGAACTACATGGGACATGCTTAGGTATGACTTATTTTCCTCAGACATTTATCAAATATAAAAATAGACAAGATAAAAGATCATGTAATCACAGAGAAAATACAATTTTAAAAAGCGTTAGTTAGGTCTGATAATGTACAAGTGCAATCATATTATAATTATCACACTGAATTGTTCAGGAAAAAAAAATATTAAGTGTATCGTATCCAAATATATATTTAATAAAATTAATATAAAAATAAAAATATATATTTTAAAAAGGTTAGTGAATGGGTACCGTTCTGTTGTGCAATAGGTATCGAGGAAGTCATTGTGATAGATGTGTTAAATTTGAATTCTAAGATGTATCATTGATTCTGAATGGGGATGGTCTATCGTCTAAATCTATATTACAAAGCATATATCATGATATGGTTTTGGATATTGTTGTTAGCCATTAGGTAAAATAATTTATTTTACTATAAGTATTTAATAATTATTATTAGGTATATTATATATTAATAAAATGAAAAAATATTGTCATTAGTTTTCGAATCAATTCATGATCGTATAATAGTGTAGACGAATTTAATTTTCAAAAAATATTTGACCAAGTGAATTAATTTTTTTTGACATTTATAGAAAAAAAGTACATAGGGTTTTATGCTTTTAAATTATAACAAAAAAAAAAAAATCAATTTTATCAAAAACTGTTTTTGCGTAGAATTTTCTGATTTTCCGTATTTTGTTGTTATTTTTGATTATTTTGGTAGTATTTCGATTTTTTTTACTTTTCACACCCCTAAGTTACTAGTTCTAATTTTATACCAGAAAACATCCACAATAGTAGTATAAAAAAGGGAGTTCTACAGCTATCGCCACCGCCGCCGCCGCAACTCATCGTTAAAAACACGCGTATTATCACCTTCATTATTAATCGTGTGCATAATTGAGCTATATCATCACATATTTATAAATATAACTGAATATTTTCATCCATACATAATATAATATGTAGTGATTATGGTATCGTGACATTTTTAGGTAGGAATATAGTCAAAAGATTATAATACGGTATAGTCGTTACATGGTTTCCCATGTATTGTAACAATCAGAAGTCAGCAAAAAATTACTTTATTTTAATATTTTGAAGACAAATTGTAAGATACAATTCTAATCGACGAAATGTTGAAATAAAATATACCCAAAAAATTATAACTTTCTGTAATAGAAAAAAATGTAAACGTATAGGATATTTCACGACTTTACAGCGTGTGTCGAATACGACAATATGATATCAAAAATAATTTACAACAGAAATGTTATATGTAAAAGATATCTTAGATATCTATAATTGAAAGTATAAGACGTTGTGTATGCGTAAACGCGTAAGATATTTCACGACTTCACAGCATGTGCTGAATACTACAATAATAAGTAAAACACTTGACTAATAAGTGTACGTGTTTATTGACTATAGTATACATTTGGAAGTACACGTAAAACAGTTGGCAAGCCGTGAGCGTCGTCATACAAATGAAAATAATGAAATATAAAGTTAAATAAACGCTACGCGTGTATGGTCAGTGGTGCGAGCGTACGACAGAATGCCTACCTCCACTACTACTTCTGTTGGAAAAACCAGTGTGCGTCGTCGATTATAGCAAGCGTTATAATAGAATCATAAATGACACATACAACCGTATTATTTTAAAATCGAAATTAATAATATAATGTGTTATCGATAAAGTGTTGAGTATCCAAGACTTATCTATATATCTGCTCGTCGTTCGGTCAGCGGCGCGGTGGTGCGCGGTGTCGGCGGCGATGACACGGAATGGGAAATTTGGACAGACACGTCTAGCCACCGCGCGTCGACGGCTACCGTACCGCGAACCTCACCCACCGGTAATTAAAAGTTAACTATTTTATGCTCTTTTTATCCTTTAAAATGCGAATTTCGAAAAATCCTTTCTTAGTGCGCCTATACATAGTAATAAGTACATTTACTGAAAATTTCATATCCATAGCTTCAACAGTTCCGGCTAGGCGATGATGAATCACCCAGGACAAGTCTTTTTATATAATATACAGACAGACTGACAGACAGATATAGCTTGATTACGTACGCGATTAATAATGAAGGTGATAATACGCGTATTTTTAAAGATGGGTTGCGGCGGCGGCGGTGGCAGTGGCTGTAGAACTCCCCTTTTTATACAACTCACAATTTTGAAAATCAAAATAGTTTTAATAATATCTAATATTGTTTACAAAAGGTAATGAGAAACACACACAAAAAACATACATATGAGATAATTGTAATATGAACATATTTTCGCTCCACTCAGAACCTAATAATTATTAATTTTAATTTTTATGTTTTTGAGAACTTGAATCGAAGGTAGATAAAAAGTGTGTGATCTACATAACAATTATTGTAGTCTATACGTCATTGAATAAGATTAAAAAGAAATTTTATCTAATACGTAGTTAGTAGATTGTAGATAAGTAGGAAGGTATAATAAATTCAATATATAATTGAATTGTTAAGAAAATATACAGAACTCCATAATTAGATTATTAATTGACCGGCTGAATAATTATTTATGCACGCATAATACTCATTGTCAAACTAACTACTAAGTAGGTAGTAAGTACCTAGTACACATTAAACAAACTGTCATTGTCTTTTTTGAATATATTATTTTGAAGTATTGAAAGATTAGTATAATTATATAATTTACATGAAAAGACTAAAAATTGAAAAGAACCACAATAATGTAAGACTTAAGACTATCTTATCAAAAGTATTTAGAAAGTAATGTCTTCAGAAATTTTTGTTAAAAATTAATTAAGAGTATTTTTTTTATCAAAAATATTGCATTTATGTATGTATATACAAATTTAAAGTAAATTTTTTTAATTAGGTATTGATAATTCGTATTTTTTCATTCAGTAATACAATAACAAACTCGGAAACATGTTTAAAAAATCAAAAATATTTAGTAAGGTTCCTACCAAAAAATAATTTACTATAGATTGAAGTTTTTGTATCATTCACATTCCAATTATTTAATTATTATCTGGAGACATTATAAAATATATTTAAAAGACATTAGTGTAATGGTACTAAAAAGTGACCTTGCACCAAAGAATCACAAATATTTTGTTTAACAGATAATAATCAAAACGATGTATTCCCAATTTACCGACAACCAATATTTACCTGTTTTATTTTTTTTATTTTATTACACTACATAATGAATACCATATACAATGATTTAAAAAAAAGGTAATTAATTATTATTCCTAATTTAAATATATGGCACAGTTGAATATTAAAAACAAACTATGACAAAAATAAAAATGTATTATTTTAGTCTTAACCCTTATTATTAAATATATTTGAAGAATAATATACAAAAAGTATTTTATTTTTTTTTTGTCTAAAATTAATTAGGTTGTTCTTTATACCAATCCCTTTATATATTTAATCTGATAGCATACTGAAATTTATTCAATTTATTAGAATTTATAGTATTGAAATAATAATTAATAATTTTAATTCTAGTAGACTATAAAGAAAAATTTGAAATACATTGGAAATATATTAACAAATTATGCAAGTTGAAAAGATTCAATCTCGATAGTTAAATATTACTAATACAGTTTAAAAACTCACTCATCATCTGCAGCCCCAACATAACACAGAATCCAAGTATTATGGATAACAGGTGCAAGAATCCTGATTGCTTGTACCTGGTGAGCACTTCAAAAAACACGACATACAGAAGTGTTCCGGCGGCCAGTCCCTGCAAAACAACAGCCACGAGTCCAGGTGTACCATCTACAGAACCTCCGTCGCCATAATATACAAGCACCATGCCGATGGTAATGCCTACTGGCGTGACAATGGCAAACGTAGTCACGTATGTAATAAGAACAGCCCTCTTGGTGTCCAACCAGGCCAGTTCCAAGCCGATGCAGAAGGCAATTATCAGCTTGTGCGTGGCCACTGCAAAGAACAGATACCACATATGGTCGACTCGCTCCTCTAACCCAATAGCCAGGCCTTCGAACACTTCGTGGAACGAAAGAGCTAGTACCGCAAACAAGCCTCGAAGCGACTGTCCAGTTGTCTCGTCCATTCTCAGTGATCCCGACGGCTGTGTGATCGCATTATTTTCTTCAATCTGTGGTTGCTGTTGTAGTTGCTGGTCTCTATGTTTGGTCGGCGTCGTCATTTCCCAGGGTATTGGCCGGTACTTTTCTTCACTAACTTTGTTCTGGCGTTCCGTGACGGCATGGGGAGTAGCTGGTGAATCGGCCGATGGCTGTAAAGCGGGTTTCGTCACCGCTGGGTTACGCCGCCTCAAGCTCATTGATCGGTGGAGGCCGGCATCGTTTTCCGAGTCGTACCAACCGTCAAGTACATTATGCACTATTTGGTCTATGAGAAACACCAAGAAGAATCCAACGCAGAATATCAGGTCCCCCAGGTTCTCAGCGCCATGTCCGTTAGGTAGCTTACGTGTGAGTTGCAGTTGGTTGACGCTCTCCCGGACTTCAGGTTGCAGGTGTAAAAACGTGGTAAAAAGCAACACGCCACCACCAAAACACAATAACAGCGATACGATTATTGATGAATCGGTGGCTGAGTGACCGGGATGCGAATGGCTGGAGTGCGAATGGCCGCTGGGTTGTGGTGGTGCTTCCGCATTCGGTCGTCCCCATTTTCTGGGAGCCAGTTTTATAGGTAACATACCCAACATAAATGATCCCAGACCTAAGACGAGCATGGCAATCGTTTTGGCAACTATGATTTGATCGAAGAACACCGACGTGCTAACTCCAGTTTCGTTGTCCATTATTTTATGATTGTTTGGAAATCACGTCAACGATATATGTCTTATTTATTTCGTGCGTGGTGTTAATTTTTGCTGTTCGCTACGGAATAAATTACAATAAATTAATAAAAATATCTTGTTGAAAATTAATATTTACCTACATGTATGAACCCGTATACAATTGCAAAAGACTGTTTATCGGTATGCTGTGTTGGTTACTACTGTCAAACTCGTTCCTGCGGTGTAGCGCGCTATGATTCCCTACCTGTTTTGGTGGGGATAATGACTAGTTATCACCACCACCGCCATCGACCCTACTTACTACACAGTACTCCCTACAACATAACATTTTATAAAAAAAACATCTTACCATCTGCTTACGTCTTACATACCTTACGAGTAGGCACATGAAATACCGATGTCATCAGTAAATTCTTTAAGTCTACAAACCAGTTTAATATAATATAATATTTTTTGTTTAGTCGTACCAGCTAGCTATTCATCCTCGATAACAGGTTTCGTTAACTATTTCTCTCAAACATACGATTTTCCAAACAAAATTCAATCAACGTGTATATTATTGTAAAACACCATGGTAAATATTTATGTGAAAAAAAAAATATTATATAACGTCACCTCGACGAGAACTCCAATACCACTGATAACAACTGTTTAACTACACTACAATGTACCGAATTACATACCGATGTTAGGTGTACGTCGAAATCATTAAGATACATATTTATTTTTCAGAACAGTAAAATTAATGGAACTACCATTGTTTAACCTATTTAAAATATGAAATGTTGTTTAATTCGAATGTATTACAAACTATTAAATATCACACCAGGTTAGCCAAAAAGTTTATTAAAATTTTATTTTATTTTCTAACAATAGAACTTATTAATAATATTATTTTTTTAAATTTTACTTTTATTTTAAGGTTAATTTAAATGTTTTAATAATGTTACAAAACAGTGAGAAAAAGACACTTAAATTGAGACATAAGTTGAAATTGTACCGTTTGTTTTTGTTACTATTATTTTATGAATTGTTTTTAGTATAATTTGATAATTTAAAATTTTTAAGTTTATGTTATTAATTTTATATAGACTATTGTTTTTACTACTTAAAATGTATAATACCTATTAAATATCACAACAAGCAAGCTATAAAGTATTATAAGATTTAATCTTGTTTCTATCTTAATAGAAAAATACTGTTAAGAGTGGACACTTTAAGACTTATACAATACATTGAATTATTTTTTTTTTGTTTTGAAAATTGTTTTTCAACAATTGATTTGTTAAAAGTCTTAATTATTAGCTAGTAAGCTTATATATATTTAATGTTTATTATAGTTCTATAATTAATTTTAAAATATCATTTTTGTGCATAAAAAAAGGTTGTTATCTTTTTAAATATTTCTTGCTATGATCTTGGGTCTACTTAATTATATTAAGGAATACAGTATGCTATCACTAGTACGTTTTGGTAAAAAAAAAAAAAAACAATAATATGCTATAACATTCATGTCCATGTACAACTTTAAAAAAAAAAGTTAAGTTGTGGTGGCAATAACATGCATGCTATAGCAGTCAAGTGTTTTTTTCTGCAAAATTTTGCAGTATTTTTAGATATTGATCATTTGTGTATACATTTCATCAGTATTAGACACATGGAACTTAATAAATTAAACCGATCCAATAAGTGGTCAAAAATTGGCGAATGCTATAGCAGTCATGTTCAACGTGTTAATCTTATCATTTGATTGTAGGTAGCAACTCGAACCAATAATAATGTGTTTCTAAAAATTCAACTTGAAAATGTTAGTAAAATATCAAAGTCTGCAGTGTTTTGTAATAATAAAATTAATAACATTATATGAATCAAGGGCGTATTTACTTCATCTCCTAGAGGAGGAGGTAAATAGAAAAAATTTTTATCATTACAGAACTGTTACCAATAAATATTAGTGGGAGGGGGGTCATTTTTTTTAAAAATAGTTGTAGTTTTTTTTTACTAATATGGTATTTTTATAATAGTTTTGAACCATTTACGCTGAAGATAATTGGCGATAATTTGGAATATGACACACCTTCTAGTCAATGTAATATCATGTTTATTTTATAAAATGTCTTGATATTTATTTCGTCTGATTTATTATTGTTACAATTTTTTATTATTACTATATATATTTTTTTTTAGTACAATACATACCATCCATGCTAGAACAATTTGAAGAGACTTTTAAAAACACCACTACTACTAGTCAAAGTAATATTATTATGTTTATTTTATAATAGTGCTTTATGTGTATCTGATAACTTTTTGTTATTTTTATTATTTACTTTGAAAAAAACACTGAAAAGAATCACGGAAATTATAAAATGTTTAATACTCTTCTAGCATAAATTAAAAATAATCTCCCTTATTTAATAATTACATTTTACAAAACCGAGGAAAATATAAAATATTATGTATAATAAATTGTCCATTACATCTATGTGACTTGTATATTGTATGTGTTCTACTTGCTTAGGCGTAGGGGGGTCAATTTTTTTAAGGGGGGAGCTATAACCACCCTCTTAGGGGAGACATGTCCCACTCGTGGGGCTTCGTCTGCATTTTCAGGGGACTATTTTAACTGGAGGGGGGGGATAAGCCCTCCTGACTACACCTATGTCAACTTGTTCATTACATTCTATAATAGTTTTATAAATCCAAAGCCACATATATATGGTCAACAAAATTTTTGTAAATTTTTATTTTTTCAATTAAATAATTATTGATACTAGATATTTTTTTTTTTATTTGTATGGAATTCTGTAATTCTACAAATATGTATTCAAATAGAATAAACAAGAAGTTGAATCTTGTTTTAGATCGTTTTAATTATAGTTCAAACAGTGTTCCAATAAACTTTATAATTTTTAAATATTTTTCCACTGAAAAATATAAAAGAAATAACAAAAAAATTAAGAGTGAAATTTATAAAACAAATGGTAAGATCATGTTTTATATTATATAAGTACTTTCATCTTTATGAAAAAAAAAAAATGCTAAATGAAGTTTATTTTGTTTTAGAAATATTTGATATCTTCAATTAGTGGTATAAATTAAAAAAAATTGTCAAGAGAGTACTTGCTCAATTATTCAGCAGTAATAAATTGGTATCAGAAAGTTCCTGACCAGATTTCAAAAATAATTTTTGAGTTGAAAATTTAGAACTCATAAGACAAATTTAGTGCATTTAAGTTTGAAAATTATTTGCAAATAGTTAAGAAAACCATGCTCAACGCAAAATGTCCTCTACAAGATGCGTATAATAGAGCCATTGAACAAATCTTATTCAGATCTACGTAATATTAATTATTACCTATTCAAAAATAAAATACCTTATGATCTGTATACACATAAAGGCAGTGGCGCCGATCCCTATACCCAAGTATGAGCAGTATGGCGACTGCCATAGTGAATTATGTGTGTGGTGGGAGGGAGGTATTGGATACTAGGTAGGTGACATATAATTTGGTACCCATAGCTCACATGTAAATATAAAATATTCTGAAAGTATAAAACTATATATTTTAACATTATTATTTATTACATGAAACACATCAGTTGCAAATGTTGCGATACGCTGATATAAGTCGTAGTCTGTAATAGCGACGCAGATTATAGAATTAAGACGGTGCGATGTACTGTAAAATTCCAAATATATTTATTTTTGGATCGTGTTGTGGTAATATTCACTAGCTAGTTGTTTGGCTACGCCGATCGATTATCAACGATCAATTTACGAATTAATCAAGGATCATTTGGTACGTGCACGCGTCTTGTACGTCTTACCATTTATTACCTACTCTAGTTTTTAGTTTTTTTATTTTTTAAATAAAATTTAAAATTTATTATGAACTCTATAAAACTAAATATTTGTCATTGCGAAAAAAATATGAGAACTTTAAATTCGCATAGTAATAAGTTGCACATTAAATCATACAAACACAAATTGTCTGAGACTAGTGTCAAAATTAGTACTTTTTTTAAGGTGAAAACAGTGGAACGTAAGTATAATTTTTATACACGTTCGCGCAAGTTATCAGACGATACGAATTTATATGTAGTATCGACCTATCCGTGATTCGTCTCCCCTGGGGTCAACGGCCCCTACAATATGATATTCGAAGTACAATTGCCTGTCGTTAATCTTCCGATTGCTAGGTCAACGGCCACACAACAATAAGATATACGAAGATATAAAAGGCCTGTAAAGACTAACTAAGTTCATTTGCCCTACTTCGCCTAATAAAGGATCAATGGCCACAATACGAAGCAATATTTCGGCGATATCGGAGTCACCCGAGAGATGGAGAATCAATTCCCAGTGCGACACTTACTTGTCAACAGTCCGTCGTCACGTTGCCGCCGCTGTACCAGCTTGCCTCTTTTGTAACACATATAAGTTCGTACAATCGCGTTAAACAGTTAATTTTGTCGGATCGGTTTTGCTGTGTCGAGCGATCGTACTCCTCGTATTTATCGCACCATAAGCCGCCTTGCGTCCTGAATTGTTAGTTGTGCACATATATACATCGTACCATAGTCTCCGCAGTGCGTAAAACTGATATATATATAATATATAATATATATTGTAACTCGCAATTATCATTTTACGTGACATCTAAATTGTCGATTTTTCGTCCCGATCATCGCCGTATAAATATATTATTGTATACTGTGATCTCCCGCGGTGTAACGGTCAATCGGCGTGTTTTGAGTGCCGTCAATAATTATCAACAATAATCTTACTATTGATTTATCATCTGCCGTTGTTGTTGTGCCGGTGCGCGCACTTGAAAAACAGCTAACCAGTGGCCTGACTGTCGCCGTCAATTCGTCACCGACCTCATCAGCAATATAATATTGGGAACTGGAGTCGCGTAATTATTATTAACTTATATTATATAATATTATACATGATACACATTTTATTTTACCACGATTCTTATTATTGTTATTGCGTTATCGTGTGTTAAAATATTATTATTATTAGACAGCTATTGCACAACACTGGTTAAAAACTCCGTTAACGTTATTTACCAAAATATGTTTGTGCGTATGCGCTCCAATCAGTTATTTTTAATTATTCAACGGGTACGATAAATTAATTTATCGTGTTAAATAATCGGTTAAAAATAACATGGATTTTTGAAAATTTATCATTATTTTTATATCTTTGATAAAGTAATGACCACATCTTATTAAATTTAATTGATAAAATTTAAACAAAGGAAATCGTATTTATTTTTGGTTTGAATAAAAAATAATATACTATAATATCAACAAACCCTCCGGTTTAACTTCGTGTATAAATTAGTTAATAAAGAAGATCTAACATTGAAATAAACATTTTGCTTATATAGAATTTAGTAAACTAGTATTAAAACATATAAAGATGTGATATCATAAATAATGCTAAGTAACTGAATTTAAGTATATTTAGTCTGTTTCGATAATTTGTTTACTTGAGGAAATTTTAGTACCTATTAATATAGAGTATACAGTGTTATTATTGGTTGTAGAGTATTATTTGATTAGTATAGAAATGTTCACTGTAATATTTTTAATTTATAATGTCTTATT